AAAAAAAATATTTAATTATAATAATTGCGAGATAAACACCGGTTTATATTATCTAAACAAAATAAATAACTATTTAAGTCCGATAAAAGATAAAATAAATAAATTGAAACAAAAAGATGTCGTATACAAGGTGGATTGTAATAATTGTGAAGTGAAATACATCAAGGAAACAAGACAAAACATAGAAAAAAGAATGAACCAGCACTTTAACGATACAAGAAATAGTAAAATATACAATAAGACAGCCCCAGCCCATCATAGCATTACTAATAGACATACATTCAACTTATTACAACCACAAATATATAGTATACACATAGGAAACATATAGTATAGTATACATAGAAAGGTAATAGAGTCGATATTTATTATTAAACATAATAAAAAAGCAATTAATTTCAAAACTGATGTAGCAAAAAGAGGGAGTCATTTTGGATATCTAATAAATAAATAAGATATATAAAAATAAATAAAATATTTAGAATTAGACCCTTTGCTCAAGGTTTGTTTCAGAATATGACTGACTAAGCTCTCCCTAGAGGAGACAACAATATAATTTTCAAGGCAATATATTCAATATTGAAACTAGTTAAATACATAAAATACTAATAATTAAATAAATAATAAACTTAAAATTATTGCATTTTAGGAATATGACAATAAATAATATGACAAAATCTTATAGAGAATTAGAAGGTATATGATGAAGATTGGCTGTAATTATAAGTTATATAAGTACAATTATAAGCTGTAAGATTGGCAAAAAAGTTAAATTATTGTTTTTTAAAGTTATATAAATAAATGTTGTATTAATTGTATAAAATTGTTAATAGCTATAATATTATAAATTCTAGTCTGAAGATGGGATATAAAACTGAATCCCGAAACGTCATAATGTAGTGGAGTGGAAATGAATTCTTACTTATATCCATCGAAAATAATTATCTCCCTTAGGATTAATGAAGAAAAAAAAAGTTTTATTTTGAACAAATCAAATTTAGAAACAGTTTAAATTTGATAGTTAATTAAATTTTATAAGAATAAAAATCGGCTCATAATTTACCGATCAAGGATAATGAGCTCGCGGATGCGGCAACCAAGCAAGCACTCGCCCTTTCACGCTGGGACACTGCCATTTGAACACCAAGTGTTACAAGTCTTTCTCTCAAAAAGGAAATAGCTCTTGCTTGTCAATCCATATGGAAATAGATGCAAATTAGAGGAAATCAAACAATTAGTGAAACCATGGTCCACCTCAAACCGCCCTATTCGTACACGGGAAGTTTCCTTGGTTTGACTAAGGGTAGGATATACAAACCAAACTAATTCTTATCTGATGAGTAAATAGCCTACACTAAAATGCCAACATTTTGTGTCCTTATTACTTATTAATTCTAACCAAATTAGGGCTCATACCGTAATCATCAATTATTTTAAATAATGATTTTCGGAACAAAATTTAAAGTTGAGATTTTTTCTTTTTTTTCTTATTATAATGATTTATTATTGTGGTAATTGAAATTATGATAAAAAAGGCGTTAATGACCTCGAAATTTCATCCCTATTAGCCCTAAATAAGAACAACTAGTAATATAACGATTCGAATTTCGCAAGCTTTATTTATTAATGTTCAAGCATTTTGAAGACCCGTTCTATATTTGGTTAGTTGTTTGCTAACTCAAAAAGTATCCGTCACCCGAAATATTTCCAATGCTTATATGGAATATAATTCAATAGTCTACAAATAATAAATTAAAAACAAAAATTAGTCTAACCAATATCAGCGAACATTTTATAAGCAATTTTTATAATTGAGACTAACCCAAATCGGTAAGGAAACATATGCTTGGAAGTATACGAGATATTTTGGATGTATAATCATTTGTAAATTATAAACTATTATAAAATGATTAACTTTTATTAACACGGTTGATGTTTAAATAGGTAAACGGTTGGAGCAAGGAGGAGCTGATACTTAAAAGAAAATCATTGAAAAAATAAAAATGAAGAACCTAAATAGCTGTAAAAATTTTACAACCTGCAAACCCTTTTTTAAAAAATACAATTTTATAAACTGGGTGAGATACTATCGGAGGAAGGAGTGAATAGAAATAAATATATCATCCGCAAACTGTAGATATTAGAAAGATGACAGATAGCTAGAACCATAAGGCGCAATGGCGAAGGGTATGGAAGCCAATATGAGAGGAACGAAGTCTAGAAAGATGGATGGCGGACAGGATGGCTAGATTGTATGAAGGATACCAACTTTATGCACCGAGGAGTCATTCTTTACACGATAGAAGAGGTATAAGGGAAATATGTTATTTCATATTTATATATTTGCAGAAAAGACATTTTTTAAATTAATTAATTAATTTTGCTTCATTTTCATTTCAGTCTACTGGATACTGAAGAAGAATAACCGAATACAACAATTGGTAAAACTCCAACGACTCTTGAGAGTAGAGGCGAGATAGAGAGAAACAAAACTTAATCAAATAATGAATATGAACAACAAGTTGATTGTCTACCGAATCCGTGGTCCATATATAATCCAATACCATGATATTTTCATCTTGAACTTATTGATTCCAGTGCATCTCGTTATGTCTATTTTTTTTTTTTTTTTTACAAGATAGATCAAATTAAAATTGATTAGTATATTCCAGCGAGAAAAAGGATGTGTAAGTATGTATTGTATTTGTTAAAAAAATCTTTGGAGAGTGAAAAAAAAGCTAGTATATCCCAATAACTATAATAAAAAAAGATTTCCTTCTGAAAATTAAAAATTTGCTTTGTTTCCGAATCTACCCTTCAATTTCTACTAAAGATTTATTATCTAGTTCCATACTCTTAGAGATGTAAACCATTTTCATTTTGTATTCATTATTATTGAGAAAATTGTATTGCGACAAATTTCTTAATTGTAATAACTGTTTTGAGTGGGGTGATGATCAGTCAGTCACATACACGTAAGCAGAAACGCAATGGGAAATATTTCCTTAAATGTTGCACTTATTTTCACCTAAATTTTTATTTTTCTTGATATTTATTATAAACGGTTTTTTTTGTCATTAACTATTAATTTTCTTATCTAATATTTAGAGTTAATTCTTTTATATCCTTCGGCTGAAAAACCAAAAGATATGTATTCCCAGCTGGTTTATTACATAGGAGTTAATACCATTTTCGTAAAAGTATGCATTCCCTTACAGGAATTTTTAGATGTTAAGCGATAAATAAATGGTCGGTATTCACTGGATAATTTTTTCCTTTAAACACATTAGAAGATCCCAAAATGATTTTTTATACATAATTTCATTAATAAAATCACTCATTTACATAATTCAATCCGGTCGAAAAAGGGGTAAATATAATCTCATATTATTAAGAGGTTTGCTCATTTACCATTAAATATAAAAAAAGGTCGTTTGGTTTTTAAGCCATGAATCTGGAAAGCTCTTTAGGGTTTATTTATCGAAAGCACTAAGGAATTGATGGGTTTAACATGAAAATCTCATAAAATAGGCAGTATTTTTAGAAGGCTATTTGTCACAACGTAAACCCCAATACAATTTATGGCTATTTACTAAACTGAATATTTAATCATAAAGATTCTGTATTTTCAGATCTATGATACTTAAATTATCATTGGTTTGATTTTTCAATAATAATCCAGAAAATATATTCTAAATTCTGTTAATCAAGCTTTTGATAAATATTTTTTGCATGTTCGACGATAATTGCATAGCTCTATGTATGTTTTCTTTTTTTTTTTTCGTTAGGTCTTTCTCAAATGCAATGATTGAAGCATCGTCGAAGATATTTTTTTCATTGAGTGCCTGAAAACACATCTGTGCTGTTAGAAGAGCTATAAATAATTGATAAATAAATCATTTATTGCGTACGATATTATTCCTAGGTGCCTTTGCCAGTGCCGCTTTTCCACCGATTAAGTACATTTTCTAAAGAACTTTTTTAAATATATAAAATATTAATTAGGGATTTAGAATGATAAATGTATTCTCTAGATGTTTTATTTCGGGGCGTTTTTTTTTTTTTGTTTTTTTTGTAGGTCGTTTACTTACAAATGACGCTTGATTTTCAACTTTAGTTTAAACGAACTGAAAACATTGAATTTACTGGTATTTTTTACTGCCAAGACCAATTATTTTTAAATTTTCTTAGGTTTTATTGTACTCTGACTATCCAGATTTAATAAAACACCAATAATGACGAAATTAAGACAACTGCTGGATCTCAGTGACAGAAAAACTAACTCAAGTCAAAGTCGTCACTCGTGTTCGAACGCCATTTTGGGACAGTGCGGCCACTTTTTTTCTGGTAACATTGCCTTTTTTTAATATATAGTTACAACTGGACACATCTCTTATAAAAGTTAGAAGAAAAAGAAAACTTTATTTGGTCAAGAAACGAACAAGTTTGCATAAATGGTCGATTGTGCATATGACAATTCAAAAGGTTCTTATCCATTATTTGTATATATATAAAACCTACATGGCGACCAGCTTGGAGGGAAAAAGATTTACGGCAGAATATTTTTATTTTATTTTACAGGGAACACATTTATTTGTTAAAAAATAAAATACTGAAATACGTTCCGAGCACATTAATTGGTAAGGTTCCGAATTATGATTTTTTCAACAATGGCAAATTAATTTATTTCTCAATCAATGCAATTATAAAATTGCTGGATTAGCCATGGTTTGGTTTGGGTTGGAGGTGAATTGAGGGAAGATAAGATTATGGTGAGTATAATTTTTTCAGAAAATCTAGAGTCCTTTTGGTATCTGGTTGTAGCCTTTAAGGAGATAAATAAAGTGTAGTAAACTTATAGCATTAATGAAATACTATTACATATTTAAACATGTTTGGCATCCTGATTATCGTCTTCTAATTTTAATTTTTTTTTTATTGTTCATTTCATTATTCCATTATCATACATTCATCAGTTTCATAAAGCTAAAGGGACTCACCTATGATCTGGTAGTTGCTGTTCCTGATGGGCATAGCCAGAAGAGACTTGAGGCTGATTCCAGGGTTAGGCTCCACTTCCAGGCACTCTGCGACGTTGAGGACCTCTCCGGAGGCAGCCACTTTCTCAGCCACGGCTAAAAGGTAGCCGCTGAGTCCGGTACCACCAACTTCGATCTTCCTCCTGCCCAAGAATGACCAAGGTATTTGAATATCACTAGTTGACAGAACTTAAGCATTATAAATTAATAGATACCTGGTTATATGAATAATAAGATTACAAATTAATCAAGAAAAGAAAGTGATTCAATAATTAAAAAAAGTCAATCAAAGTCAAGTAATAATAAAATTTATGGATTAGATTTCCAATCGAAAAGTTCCTGCAAAATCGTAATGACATCAACGAATTTCCACAGTATCAGCTCCATGGAGTGGAGAGAGAAGAGATGGAGAAGTGTGAGAGAACTTCTTCCAGGAACTTGATAATTTGTTACCAAACTTCGTCCCGATATAAGAACAAAGTTCTAACCGAACGCCTTCTGTCATTGGTCACATCTGTTAATTTTTAACTCCACTCAGATGGTTTCTACTTTAGTGCCATGCCTATAAGTTGAATTGTAATCATGTATGTATGAATTATAATTTTTTATATTGGACATCTCATCTGAGAAGACATCCCGATGTGAATAAAAATTGATTTTTTTACAGACTTGCCTAATTTAAGCAATTTGTCTAATCAATACTCTAAATTATTAAAGAATGAAAGTAAAAAAAAAAATTAAGATCCTTTGAAATAAGATGAAGCCAATTTTTTTAGGACATTATATGTTAAATTGTGTAGACAGTTTTGATATGTAATTATGGCATCGTTTATGAATAAATATGGTATGAAGTTTTTCATGAGATTATTTCTAGTGGAGAAAGATCAGAATGGTGCCATTGATAGAATATTTGACAATTCAAAACTATCCGAATTTACGACTGCATTATATTTACGACGGATGCCTAGGTAAAATACTGACTTACAATACATAATCTTAAACGTACAAAGAATCCCTATAGCCCTGAAAGACTACGGATGCGGTGGCCAAGAGATCTACTAGACGCTAGCACCGAAATTTGCTTCTTGCAATTTGAAGATGGAAAATTTCATTTTAATTTTATATAATAAATAAATAAAATTTCGTTGTAAATTTAACAATGTTATCTAAAAAACCATTGGCGACCCCTAGTGCATATGACTCATTTATTCTATAAAGAGGCTAAATTAAAAAAAAAGTTCATAGTATTGAATACAATTTTTATTTGGGAATAACGTATGTATTCTGTACTTCATTGTCTGATCAATCATTACTAATAAAATTTCACAGAACTCATTCGAAATAAATTTAAAAAAAATTAACGATAGTCTCCTATTACAATTAATTTAATATTAAGAAAAAATATTCACTTGGTGATACAGAGCAATAGCATTATATAATAATAATTTTTGGTGTAATGATTCAAAAAATGATTTGAAGCTCGTTAGTGCCAAAAGGAAGCTATATAAAAGGGAAAAAGTAAATGAAAGAATTACTAAGGAAATAAAGAAAAAAAAGGATTCTATTGAAAACGGTTTTCGGGAAATTGAGGAAGCCCCTTCTTTCTTGTTATCTTACCGTTTCTCAAAACTAAGGTTATATTTCTTTTATATATAAAAACGACTGACAAGTATCGTCAGTAATAGCTTCTCAAAATTTTATATTTGGTATATAATTACCAATGATATTACCCATCGCATTGACATTATTAAAGAAAAAAAAAACTGTTGATGTTTGAAAATTAAAGTTCAAGACGAAATAAAGAATAAAAATCTATAATAAAACATAGAAATAAATGAGAGAAGAACAATAGTAGAAATGGTATAAGCTACGTCTACTTAAGTCCATATTACCGAAACACAAGATGGAAGGAAAAATAAATAAAGGCTTAGCTTTGAAATAAACAAGTCCCACTGTGATTATATAAAAATTGTAAAAAATAGTATTAGCTATAAAAGTGGAAGGAGGTTTTTTAAACATTTGGAACATCACAGTAAAACATTCTAAAATAATTCAGTTAATGGTAATTGACTGGATCAATTTACCAAGGAAATTCACAGAATCAAAGCTGTATTTGGGAATACTATTTCGTTTAAAAAGTTTTAAAAAATGTATATGTTTTTGAGTCTTCAATAGCTAAATTATTTCTCGTTACCTGTTCAATAACGAAGGTGGGAAATCATGTATTCGTGTGGAAATTTAAAAAAAAAATTTTACTTAGAAACGAAAATTTTCACTAGCGTTTTAAGTTTCAGAGATCAATGATCAAATTTGGTTCAGCGACTGTCTGTAATCAAATCAATAAAACGGGTGTATCACCTATTAACATTTATAGAGTTTTCATGAATTTTTTTAAGAAACTGTGAGGGGTGGTCCCTAGATGGTCCCATATCAATTTCATTAAATTCCATCTACTACTTCCACTTACGTTGACGCAAATATATTTTCTTAAATATGCCAATATTTCAGAAACGGCTTTTTAAATTTGGCTCATAGCTGGAAAAAAGGTGGTTATTGTTTAAAACTAAACGCTGTATCACTTTTATTGATTGCTTTACATTAAAAACTGCGCAAACGTTTTTTTCCTTGTTCCGCCAGCTCTCTCAAAAACATTTGGCCCAAATTTGGAGGCCAGTTAGGAACTAATAACCAAATGATCGTGTATGTATCAAATTCTATCCACTACTTTCAGAGAATACTTGCACTTTCGAATCTGCAAACGTATTGTTTTTGACACACATATAGTTTTAAAACGTCTCGTTTGACTTGGCCCAAAGTTGGAGAAAATTTTGAGAATAATGTAATTATCATTGATTGTGAGTGTTGAAAAAAGTATATATGTATTTCAATTTTTTTAATATTTATTAAATGTAATTTACAACTGTATAAAAAATACAGTCAGTAAAAATGTATATATTAGATATGATATGAACAGACTTGAAGAGATAGTGCCCAGTGGTAGCACTATTTAATTCTTGGAAAGAAGATCACGAGGTGATCTTTTTTTCATACGCCTAGGGGTGATTATCAGGAATCAAAGAAGAAGCAATGCTGGAAAAAGTGGATTCGGATGGGTCTGGAGTTTATCATAAAGGGATAGGTATCTGGCTCGGGCTAAATCAGCGGTATTTCTAAATTTAAATTAATTTTAATTTTTTAGTTCTAAAAAAAAGTTCAGCCTACCTGAAGCTATACTGGCCTTACTTGGCAGACGTTTTTTAATTTTATTTTCTCTTCGTCTGTTTGGTCTTAAAAAAAACTGTATTTTTTCTACTTTAAGCACATCAGTAAATTTTGGAAGTATTTTTACGTTTGGATTAAAATATCTCAGAAACTAAAAATCGTTCCTGCGTACTGTAAGCGAGGTAAATGTTCAACATTTTATCCTCTTTGTAATAAGGTATTATTCAAATTGTATCTTACCGTGACACCGTCCTAGAGAAGCTAAGAGGGAAAAATTTTGTCAAAACGATTTTTATTTAAGATGTGAACTAAAATGTCTCAGAAACTGAAAATCGGACCTGCATAGTGCAAGCAAAGAAAATTTTCAACATTTTATCCTCTTTATAATGAGCTATTATTCAAAATAGTATCTTAACGAGACGCCGTGTCATGGAGGCGATAAAAGAGAACCAAATTACTTTTATTACTTTTAAGTGAATCCTCTATGGCTACTTGTAATAATTCGTTCTGATAATCCGGGAAGTCTGATTGTTATTTCACGATTTAAAGTTATTATTATGTCTAAAACTCTGTTAGTTTTATAAAATGATAATAAATATGGCTGATTAAAAAAAAAAAAAAACCGTAGATTAATAGAGCGTTATATTTTTAAACGATTTATAGTACTATCAAAGTTATTGCGATACAGAAAATGTATCTGGTATACCTAAGGAATATGGAGCCAGTGTCACAACCTAATGCTAATGCACACTAATGTAGCCTATCTATTGAGCAACTAAGGGATATTACCTACAAACTTCCCTTACCCTCAGCACTAGCCTTGCTCTAACTGGATTGTCAAACTTAAAACATACAGCTAACTGTTAATTAGATATATGGCAGTTCAGTCCTCAGTTATCTTCGTTAGAGAATGGGACTTATTAGAAAATTTAATTATTAATAAAGTATTAATTAAAAGCCTTAAATATCTCTTGTTAAAGTTTAGCGGAACTCAAAATTTCAAAGTTTCAAAATTTTAAAGTTCAACAACACAACTATCTCTTAATTTCATTCTGAGACGATCCTATAAAACAATTAAAGTATTACTCACATAAAAAATGCTCGATTAACTATGATGATGAGATCATCACATGTCATGCATTTAAACCGTTAACGAATCCTATCATTAATAATATAATTCTAAATATAGAAATGGATGAACTCTATTTTAAACTTTTTTTTTAAATCTTTTTATTTAGAAATAATACATTTTGCCACACATTTAAGGGCACTGAGTACTAAAGCTGAGTGAGGCTCATTCATACTATATATACAATGCAATAAAAAAAAAAATAAATAAAAAAAAATAAATAAAAAAAATATATATCTATATAACAAAGGTAAAAACTATAAAACTAAAGAAATGTAACTTGAATTCAAATTAAAAATAAAATAATAATAATAATAAGTAAAACAAATAGATATATAAAAAAGAAAAACATTCATAATTAATATATAAAAAAGAAAAACATTCATACTCTATTTTAAACTAGGATTCTGCATTGAAAATTTTCATACTAGATGGAAAAAGGTTATAGATAATGAAGGTGATTCCATCAATGATTAAAAATACAAACTAGTGTGAAATTTATGTTTGAATTCAGTGTAAGAAGACGAAATTACTTTCCGGTCTCCCTAATACATTCGGAAATATTATACTGTTATATAATGGAAGTGGTGTTCGAACACGTTTGGATGAACGTTGTGAGTTCCCACCTGGGTCGGTTAATATTTATTACTCGGCGGGCCCGAAAAATCAATTTTGAAACTCCCACTTTGAATAGTATGTGGCAACAACCTCAAGGTTAACATCATGTTAGTAAAAATAACTTGCCAGATTAGTTTCCCCCTTCACTAGCACTAGTAGTACCAACAGTACGTC